ACAGCTTGATTTTGTTGTTTTCTGGCATTGCTTCTTTTAGGATTTCTTCCGGTACCGGGATTTGAACTCACGACCTTGCGCTTGCCAGGTAGGTGCTGTGTCGCTGAGCTTAAACCCCAGGTCCCCATGGTCAGACCTTGATGCCAAGAAAAAAAAAAAAAAAAAAAAAAAAAAAAAAAAAAGATGAAATGAATGCACCCACATACTTCCCTAAGGATAAACACCAGGGATTGATATTCTAAAGAAGTATCTATCACTTTAAAAAAGCCAGGAAGAGTCACTAATTCAGCCCCCTCCAGTCACTAATTCAACCCCCTCCAGAAAATCCCTGTTCTGTACTCATGCCCACTTGCTACATGACTTGCTTCCTTATTTGATTAGAATTTAATCAATTTTACCTGAGCAAGTATACTCATAATCTTATTGGTTGACCACAGTTTTGTCCCACCTCATGCCCGCCCACCTAGCAATTTTCCATGTTTTCCACCTTGGACCCACCTCATGTGGTGGATTTGCTCTACAAAAATCCCTAGAAAAGGCAAGGTCCTTGGCAACCCACTTGGGACCCCTTCTCTCTCAGACAGAAGCTTCCTTTCCCCAGTAAATATATTCTGCTCTTAATCTCCGTTCTTCCTAAACTCATTCTTCGATTTTAGAGAATACAAACTCATACCAGACATCTAGCAGGTTGGGTGTTTCTTTCCTCCATATCACCAGCATTGCAGGAGGCTGAGGCAAGAGGATCACAAGCTTAAACCTAGCCTGGGAAGCTTAGCAACTTACTGAGTTCCTGTCTTGTTGTGGTTTGGGGCTTATTTGCAAGGGGAAACACTATAATACAGGACACATATTTTACAAGATTATTTATAATAGTCACCTAAAGAATGAAAGAGTGCAGGAAATCTGTCTACACACTAAGATCAAGGAATCTAGCCAAGGGCCTAGATCCCATGGAAATGTCCTGCATGAGTTCAGCTGAAGACCTAGAGCTCATAACAATGCCACCCACGAGTCCAACTGGAGGCCTAGAACCTATAACGATATCTCATGCAGTCCTGATCCATGGATCTGTACTGGGAAGGCCTAAAGGTCAGTGGTGGAATCTAAGAAGTCTGTGCCAGGAGGATGAAGGATCTGTGCTAGCAGGCTGAGGCATCTACACTGGGGCCAGGAAACGATGCTCAAAGTAAGTATCAGAGCTGCCCTGAAAGGCACCACAGCCATCCTCAGCAACAGTGAGGTCCTGAGCTCCTGCAGTGATCAAGATGGCTGAGTTCCCAAGAAAGCCAATGCAGCAAGTTTCTTCAGGACACTGAGCTGTGTACCTTCTTCCCCTCTGGAGCCAGGAAGCAATGCTCAAAGTGAGGACCAGAGCTCCCCCAAAGTGAACTGAAGCTATTCTCAGTGCCAACAAGGTCCCAAGCTCCTTGGGGGATGAAAATAGCCAAGTTCATCAGGAAAGCCAGCATGACAAGCTCCTCCAAGAAAGCAGCTCCTTACAGCTTCTCTCTGCTTCCAACAGACTCCCCACAGATTCTACCAGCTTCCAGCAGCCTTTCTCTGCTCCCAAAAGCCTTTTTTTTTTTTTTTTCCTTTTCCAGTTCTGCCTCCTGTGCCGCTGGCAACAATCCTCAGGAGGGCCTCTTATACTCAGCACTATGCTTCCTCAGTTCAGCTGGGTGTTACAAGCTGACCACCAGTTATCAATCCACTACATGTCTCAAAACAAAACAGAAAAAAACAAAAATGTTTTTAAAGGACTAGAGATGTAGCTCCACGGAAAAACCCTGTGCTCGATCCCCAGATACACACACACACTATAAAATCTATCAGTGCACCAAACTACTAACAGTGCTTATCCTGACTCAGGAATGCAGGATTCTTTTTTGTTCTTTGCTATATTTTCCAATTTTTCTACATTCATACATTATTTTTGTACTCATATAATGTTTTTATTTAAAATTTAAACCATAGCAACAGGCTTCTTCCTTTTGCCCCTCTGGCCTCTGTCGCCGTACCAAATCCTCTGCTCCTGGGTCCCAGCAAAGTAAGCTTTCTACAAATCGCACCTGTCAGTAAACATTCCTATGAATATCACTAGGCCAGGAACTTCTCAAGACACTTTCCCCACAAACCACTGCCCACACAAAATATACCGTCTATGGAACAAATGGCTCTCCTGGAACTAATGGCTTCCTCACCCTCAGTGCCCTTCAGGATTCCTGCAAGGATTCTAGCCGCAAATCACTCTTCCTTGACGGCTCTGCGTAATCTGCCCTGCCTATGCTGTGAGTCACTTCCTCTGGCCCCCAGGTCAGCCTTGCTGCAAGTTGAATTCTTCCTGCTCTGAAGCTTAGGATTTCTCAATTGCTAAGCTAAAATGTTGCTTTTCTCTGTCTCATGAAGCAGCAAATTTCTTCCACATTTCCTGGATCCTGGTCACAGTCCCTAAACTTCCTGCCCTTGTACCCCAGCTGCTCAGATCCCACCCTGAGGTGGAGTGCATGGGTATATAATTCTGGTAACATTAAAGTACAGTGTACTCAGGCTTGGCAAACAAGTCCTAATGTTTTAGATTACATAATCTGAAAAGAATTTGAGAGAGCATAAGGTTAAAACTTTCTCTGCACAGCCCTGTCAGTTATTTTTCTAGCTCCTACTTCAACACTTCTGGAGTGTAATTCAACAAATTCTTTTCACAGATCTCTTCCTTTTATCTGCCCTAGTCCTACCTTACAGTGTTGCACAATACAGATTTGATTCTCTTCTGTATCAACAATGTTTAAAAATAACAGAAGACAGAGCTGGGCATGGCTTTGGTGGCTGAGCGCTTGTCTCGAACACACAGGGCCCTGGGCTCAGTCTCTAGCACTGAAAAAAATGGAGATAGATTCTCACTACCTTGTTTCATTTTCCCCACCAAGTCCAACTCCCTCTGTCTCCTAATAGCCACCCCAATGTGACCTTTTTCTACATGGCTTCCTCTCATCACTATATGGAGGCGAAAACCCTAAATCTGATTCCTAAGCTGACTATTCCTTGGCTTTGTCATATTATCGTGTTGTAAAACAAAAACAAGAAACATTTCTGTAAACCCTTTTCTGTGTGTGGTCATGGTGATGATACTAGGGATTGAACCTAGAGCCTGGGAACTGAGCCACATCCCAAGCATTTTTTATTTTTTCACATTGTGACAGGTTTTGTAAGTCACTAAATTGCCCAGGTTGGACCAGGGATATAGCTCAGTGGTGCAAGCACCTGCCTGGCAAGGTTGAGGTCATGAGTTCAATTCCCAGTACCAAAAAAACAAAACAAAACAAAACAAAAAACTAAATTGCCCAGGTTGGGCTGGAACCTGCAATGCTCCTGCCTCAGCCTCCCAGAGTGTTGGGATTACAGGCCAGCACCATCATCTACGCCTCTGTTTTTTCATCTAAAAACTGAAAATGAAAATATATCGGTGATGCTTGCTTAAGGGTTTACATAGCTATCACACTCCTCATAAAAAGGGTAAATACAGTCCTGTAGAGTAGTAGATGCACATTACCTGTTGTTTATTCACAGTGGAAGTGAAATCTCACCAAGAGTCTCTTTCTGTTTTCTATGGTAAATTAGGCCCTTCTCCATTTGATTGGCAAAATTTGGCTATATGCGCTGGGATTCATCATCAGTGGCTCTTTTAGGATGATAGTGAATAAAAATGATTACTATAGGGAAATAAATCCACTTATAATGGCAATCATCTAGCCTATTTCTTTTTTTAAATACTGCATTATAATAGGCCTAGGGGTATAGCAACTTCCTTCTATACTAGGGGTTATGGTTGATACATTGTGTCAATTTGGGGAGTCTAGAGGTTTGGCTAAGTGACTCAGCAGTTCTGCATCTTGGGGTAAAAAGGACATGCCCTTACCCTTCTGGGATGTTGTTTATTGTGTTAATTTGAGAAGTTTAGAAGGTTAACTATGTGACTCAGAAGGGAGCCAGGGTGCTTACTTTGTATTCATCCTAAGCCTGTGCAAGAGGAAGACATGCAGAGGGTATGGGTGTAGAGGACCACCCCCATCCCCCCAGAGCAGGTAGACTGTATAAAAAAAGGAAGTGAGGAAGGACTGGCTGCTGGTTCTTCGGAGGAGCTCCAGTCTTCTCCTTCAGCTTGGTCGTCTCCTGACTTCTGGTACAGATTGTTGGGCTTCCGTCAGGATTCTTCAGCCACCTGGTGTTGGCTCTCCGGCCTTCATCGTAGATTCTTCAGCATTGCGTTGCAGACCCATCAGCGTTTTGATACGGACTTGCACGGACACTGCAGTGAGCTCCAGGCCAGGGGCTGGGCTCTTCAATCTCCAGCGTGCAGACACCCTCTGCAGGCTTCCTCATCCAACTCTGTAGCTGATCATGGTAAGCCAAACTTGTAATTTCTTGTACATTTGTTTATCTTGTATTATATCTGTTCCTCTAGTAAACCCTGACTGATACACTAGCCATTCCTCTACATCTCAAACAGTATTATAATAGCTTCTTTCCTAGCTGGGCTCAAAGTGTGGCTGCATTACTCAAATGTGTTTCCACATCTGGAGCCTTTGTGATCTCTCAGCTAAATTTTAATACTGAAGCTTTGGCTGAATTCCCTCTATATTAGAGAGTCAGCTAAAAAGTCATTATCTGGAAAGACTACTTTGCAGAGTTTTTTTTATTTCCTAGTTCTGCTGCCCTCTTATGGATGGCTATCAAGTCAAAACCAGGGTCCCTGAGCTGGGCATGCAGAGCCTTCCTGGCAAGTGTGAGGTCCTGAGTTTAATTCGTGATATGAAAACAAAACAAACAAACAAAGAAAAAAAAAAAAAACAGGCTCTTAATATGGAGCCACCTCCTCCCATTGTCAAGGGTCCATATCACACAGCACAGTTGTAACTGCACTGTAAACAAGCTATAAGGTACTGTAGCACAGCCAACTAAAGATCCCATTTAGCTCCAAACACTATAGGTTATCTTGTCTTCCTCATAGCACACTCAAGTCCCAGGGGATTTCTTTCCATTTCAAGAGGTCACTCATCATATAGGAAGAAAAAGAAAGAAAGAAAGAAAGAAAGAAAGAAAGAAAGAAAGAAAGAAAGAAAGAAAGAAAGAAAGAAGAAAGAAAAGAGAAAGGAGAGAAAGAAAGAAGACAAGACAAAGGGAAAAAGGAAAGTCCTTTCACTTAACTCATCTTTCTTCCAATTATCAATTTCTTATACTGAAAAATTTCTCAGAACAGCTGGTACAGTCCCTCTCTACTTTCCTCATCTGTTATTCCTTCTGGTGTCTATTTTGACCATGGGATCACTCTCATCATTTTTCGATCTCTTTTGATGAGACACTCTTTTGGTTTGCCCTCCAAGACATCTTACTTTCCTCCTTCCTAACAGCTCCTATTCAGACTCCTTTGCTCTTCATCCTGATTTCTGCCCCTAAGTGTATCATCCAGAGCATTTGTTTTAAATGCCATCTATGTGCTAATGACTTCCAGATATTAAATCCTAAACTCATCCAAGTGCATATTCATGTCCCTGGAGGCCTGGACTTTTCCAACTTAGCAGCTGTAAAATCAAACCTACCTTGTTAAAGTTGATCATGTGGTCTCATCTCAGAAAATGACATCTCCTCCATTCACCTAATAGATCAGCTCAAAGGCTTAACAATTATCCTTGAATCATCTCTTTTGCCGTACCTTTCCTTACATATCAGCAAGTCAAGTCTATCTTCCTTCAAAATATCTCCAGCCTCTGAGTTTTTTATACCAACTGCATCACCACCACTAGTCCAAACCAAAGCCAACTTCTGGTCTGGCCTATCACAGTGGTCTCCAAATCAATCTATTTAGTTTTCCCCTATACATTAATATTCTACAAAGCCATCAATAAGATTTTTAAAAGGCAAATAGATTAAAAACACATTAGCACCCTCTCTTCATGATCAAAATGAAACCCAAATATCTTGCTATATCTATAATATCTGCTTATATTTCCAACCTGAACTACCACCACTACTTACCTTGTCCATGCTACTGTAATAACACTGGTCTTGTTGCTACCAAATTGCTAAATTTCCTTAAAATTTTTATGTTATCTTCTTTCAACTGCTGTTTGAGGAAACCTACAATTCTGTTGGAGGAAACTTCTCTCATCATTGCATTGCTCACTCAGGCCTCTACTCAAATGCTACCTCCTCAGGAAGGCCTTCTCTGAACCAATGTAATTGAAATTCCTTACCCCTTTATTACTTTCTTCTCTTTTTTAAAAAACTACCTTATTGAAGGCAACCCTCTTATGACCCCTTCTGTCTCTCTCTCAGATAGAAGCTTTCTTTCCCCACAATAAATATATTCTGCTCTTAACCTCCATTGTTCCTAAAATTCATTCTTCAATTTTAGAAAACACAAACTCCTGCCAGACATTTAGCAGGTTGGGAGTTTCTTTCCCCTATATCATTTGCAGGTCTTCCACCAAGATCATTGGAGGGAGACATGGGGAGCTCAATGTTGAAGTCTCTTACTCCTTTAGAATGCATTCTTCAGCAAAGGAAGATGTTTGACCTTTATGTGTTGAAAAAGAGCCATTTGATATTTTTCTGCACATGCATATGGCCTGCCTACCCCCTAAAGCCAAAACAGAGTGCAAAAGGAAGTATTAATTATGATGCTCTTTCCCCACTGGAGTCATACTGTAGGAAAGAGGGAAAATGGTTAGAACTGCCTTGTATTCAAACTTTCTTTACATTAAGAAATAATTTTCATTTATGCTCAAAGTATAATTATAATCCATATGAGAGTACCCACATTCATATGTCTGTTTCTCTCAGTGACCTAAAGCAGATCAAGCTAGATCTAGGAAAATTTTCAGATGTCCCTGATAAGTACATTGAGGTCTTTAGAGGATTTACTCAGATCTATAAACTAGACTGGAAAGATAAAATGTTAATTTTAAATCACACATTACCTTCTAATGAGAGACAAGCAGCATTACAAGCTGCCATTATATTTGGGGGATGAATATCAAATTATTAATTTTAAACAATCAGAAGATAGATGGCCAGGGGAACTAGCAATTCCCACTGGAGCCCAAGCAGTCCCTACCCAAGACCCCTGCTGGCCTAACAGCAAGACAGGACATTGGAGCAGGAGACATTTTCAAGTATGTATTCTTGAAGATCTAAGAGGGATAAAAACCAAGCCCTCTAGTTATTTTAAACTGTCAACCATTCATCAGGAAAAACCCTCTACCTTCTTAG